CATTGCAAGGGAGGAGTGCTGAGAGCAAGGATTGACTGCAGCCAGCCATGGAGAAAATGGGAAGTTTCGTGATTTCTTCATTTTACATCCTGCCTTTTTGTGTAAATAGGAGAATGACAAGCTTTTATCCTTCTGTTAGGTATAACTCCATTGTCTGTCTATACCTCAGGATTTTTTGAACTGAATCTGATGAATTTTTCTCAAATATCTGTAGAATTAATATATTTGAACATGTTAATATGATTCATCCTCATTTTTCTTTTGATGAAACCTTACTTTTAACTATAATAGTTTTGGAAAGGTCAAGGTTTTGGAATTGTCTTGCATTGGCATAACTTTAAAAAGTATGCTTGGTAGAAAGGATGCTTACAAATCTGTGGATTGATGAGGCCAGAGAGGGGCTCTAAAGTTTTATGTAGAAAATGATTCTCAAGAATTTTAAGAAGCTAAATTGTGAAACATATACCGGTATGTATATGCAAGTTTTTTAATATAGCTTAGAATTAAGAGAGTGATATACAGGAAGTACATGCTTCTTTAAAACTTCTTTTCAAGAACTTCAAAGCTACAAATTGTCAATTTATTTGTTATCAAGAATCAAGTTTACTCAAACTATGACCACCAGGGCAAGAATGGGGTCCAATATTTTCCGAAAAACATGAAAAGAAAAAAACCTGTATTTTTTTCACAAGAGATTGTCAAATTCAAATGAATTCAGTATCATCTTTGTACCATAAATTCAATGTCTAAATCATTGCCCTTCGCAGCAAAAGAGAGGTACTAATTGGAACTCTACAGAAACTTTGGTGACTGTTAAGGCCTATAGACCTATTGTTTCAATATTAAGAAATTGATTGTTTTTATATTGTTTGACCTTAGTAGCTTGTTTTTTTTATTGTTAAATTTTATTTTTATTTTTATTTTTTATAGATTTTGAAATATTTCAAATCCTTCTGGACAGTTAAACTGACAATTTTGTCTTTTCTTTTGATAGAACACATCAAAATGAGTCATCTGAGCTGTCTTGATGTTTGTGGAACAAAGAAGACAATGCAACACATTCAACACATCAGAATAAATTCATGTCATGTCATAGAGGAATAGAAATGTAGGGAGAGATATTTATTACTGAAAGAGATGTGGAACTCTAATCTGACCATGTGTGAAGGATTCTTGAACTTTTGTTAAGGATCTGTGATTTTGTGATCTTTGACTTTATGGGAAGGGTCTGTGAACTAGTGTTAAGTATGGTGAACTAATGTTGAGTATCTGTGACCTTGTGAGAAGGATTTGTGAGCTTGTGAGAAGGATCTGTGAACTTGTGTTGAGGATCTGTGAACTTGTGTGAAGGATCTGTGAACTAGTGTTAAGGATTAATGTCCTTGTATTAAGGATCTGTGACCCTTTGAAGAGAATTGTGATCCTTCATAACTTTCATTAACATTTAGGAGAAAAAATGGTATTATCCAGCACTTAAATAGTATAGCGGGAAAATATTGTATTAATGTTATTAATGTAAGATGTAGCCTGTATTGGTCAGGAATTGACCAATCAAAATTGATTTTGATGTGTAGTACTGCGATCTGGTTTTAATGGTTGGTCATCCTAGCTACGAACTTAAGCGAGCAAAATCAAAGTTTTCATATTATGTAGATATATGCAAAACATGTTTTCATTAGGTTTAGATGTAAGTTGAGAGGTCTGTCGCAACGATTTTTACAACCAGCGGCACTTGGCAACGGACACTCGTTTTCTTTCTTTTCGAATATATTTCATATGATGGAATTTTAATGTATGCAACAGGTTTTGCAAGTCTGTCAAATTTTTTGCATTTAATGTGCTGGATATTGGTTCAGTGTTTTGTAATTTTCAATAAAATAATGGCGTCCAGCGCATATATGGCTAGCCGTCATGCATAGCATGTTGTTATCGTTCATGTAAATACGTATTACTCTTTGTAAGCCATCTAATTCTCTTGTTTCACCAGTTGAAATTGACCAGTTTATATTTCCAGTAAATGAGTGCGTACCTAACATTCTCACTTAGACTCAAATAATAATTTGTATTGGAAACAATTTTTCATTGTTTTTTGCAACATTTTTATGGGAAGTTTTAAAGAACAGTGGAGGGGGTATACTGTTCCTTTGATGTTTAATATGTGTGGTCTATCTATTTTGACACCAAATTTTCATTCTATAATTATGTACATGCAATAAATGATGAATGCTTCTTAGAGCTTTTTTGAATTGTGTATAGCTATTTTCAAATATTCTTTTCAATGTAACAGCCAGTAAATAATAACTGGTAAATCTGCACAATGTGATATAAAATAAACAACACAAAAAACTGTAAATATGAGCACTTTTCCTTGCAGCCATCATTGAAATGCCAGAGAAACTTAATAATGGTTCACAAAGTGAATCAAATAAGCAATCCCACGTAAATTTGAGTGGCTTTTTTTATTTCATCCATCTTAGAAAATATTATGTTGAAATGACAGTGGGCTTTTTAAAAGTATTATGACTTTGAACTATATCTGTCGAAATCTTCATATGTGATGTCAAATAAACAATAACATGAAAATTTTAGTAGTTTTTTTTTTTAATTTGGTTGCAGCCATCTGAAAGTATTGCAGAGCAATGACTGGAAATTTACAAAATCTGGCCTTTAACAGAGAAAAGCTTCCTAATCCGATTTGATAAAACTTTTCAGATAATTTTAAAAATATAAAAATTTTTTTTACTATGTTTGTATTTGAACAAAAACAAACTTCAACGTTTTAAAACGTGTTAAAATAGCAAGAGACCCATGGGCTACAACACTCACTTGTGTCACAATGGCCCTGCTGTTCATCAGCAGATCCCCCCATGTATTTGTATGTAAAACTTTAATACCATATTGTGAGTCCAACCCTACTCCCAAAGTCATGATTTGAATAAACTTGAATCTACACTACCTGAGGATATTTCCATATAACTATGACAAATCATCACTTTGGTGTTCTTGAGAAGATTTTGAAGATTTTTCTCTATACATTCCTATTTAAGGCCTTGAATGCCCATTGTGGCCCCACCCTACCCCTGGGTGTCATAATTGAATATACACTTCTTGAGGATATTCCATATAAATGTCACTAAGCATGACTTTGCTGCTCTTGAGAAGATTTGTAAAGATTTAATTTTCTTATATATTCCTATGTAAAGAGTTGATTCCCCTTCGTGATCCCACCTTTTCCCTGGGGCTCATGATTTGAACAAACCTGCATCTACACTACCTTTAGATGCTTCCATATAAATGGGACTATAACCACTGCTTTGCTATTCTTCAAAAGATTTCAAAGATTTTCCCCATTTACTCCTATGTAAAACTTTAATTGCCAACTGTGGCCCCAACCTATCTCAGGGAGTGGGGTCATGATTTAAAACACACATGAATTTATACTACTTGGGGATTGAGGGTGCTTCCTACCCTGCCTTTGTTGTTCTTATGAAGAAGATTTTTAAGATTTTCCCTGTTTATTATTGTGTAAAACTTTGATGACCCACTGATTTGAAGAAATTTGACATTACACTTGGTAACAAAGCTTTCAAGTAAGTTTCATCTTTTTTGTCCTAATGGTTCTTGAGAAGAAAATTTTATCATCATGTATATTCCATGACTCTGTATTCTGAAGCCATTTCTGATTTAAGCTGAAAGAAATTTATTTGCGTTACTTATTATAATGTGAGGGTTACTTTAATTTCACAAAATGTAATGAAATGTGACATTTTGGGAAATACTAACCAATCGTTAACGCAACTAAAGCAAATTGAACTAAATCGTTTGACTCATATTCTAACAGTACACGTATTTTCCTTTATTTGGGGAACTTACTTGATGGTTCAGCACATATTTGAACTCGTTTTAAAAAACATCGTCAATGTCCATAAAATTGTATTAATCATAATTTTACCCTTATTTGTACAATCGAAAAAAGGACGAACAGTTATCAAGTACATTTGTAGTGATGTACTTTGAACTTTTCAGGTGCACTCAACCCGTATGTACGTATTTCAATGGCCGATTGTCTTCGATTTATACAAACGCTGATAAAATCAACTTTAGACTCTTACAAGAAAACATTAACAGTTTATGATATCTTGATTTATATCTAAAGAAGTTTGGACGGCAAAATCAAGTATATACTGTACCCTTCCCTCAAATAAATTTTTGAAAAAAAATGGAGCAAGTTTCAAACGCTACAGCACGACTTATCATCGATTAATTGACTCATTTTCCAATAAATCATTCATACATATTTCAATCATTTTTAATAATTATTTAATATAATTTTAGAAATATGAAATAAAAACAAAAGTTACAGAATCAATACACTGTGTAATTGCATTAGACAACTGAAAATTTACACCTTGTAGTTAATCACTCAGTGTTACATATTATGTATGAGGTGTATATGTAAGTGAAACCTTACAAATTCACCGTTCAATACAAGTGACAAAGGCGACTAGGGTACCTTCCGAGTAGACTCCATCATTTTGAAAAGCACCTTGATGCATAATATTTTTGTCTAAAGGAACAAAAATGAGGGTTGTTCTCTAAAAGCATGAAGGAAAATAGGAAGAAGTTGGAGTTAAAACTGAAATCTTAGTTCAAGTTGCAATAGTAACCAAGATAGTGCCGCCATCCCCCACCCCCATATCACAGCTAATGGATTTATTTGGGTGTTTACAAGAAATTTAAGAAGAGGTTATTTCAAAGTTTTGAAAATTAATCTAGTGACAGTTTTGCGAAAATTTCTTTTTTTCAATTTTTTTTACGAGGATTATCACTTCGATCTGTATAAGTGCACAAAAATCTCCAAATGATAGATATTGATTTTAATGATATTTTTTATCACTTAATCGGACATCCCACTTGAAATCCGTTTGATTTAAACAAATATCGACAAAGAAGGACTATATAGACCCCTGGATCCATCAACACCACAAGAAATTCGGACCATGGAGTATATGATTGTCTTGACACTTTTAGCTAGCCTGTTGTCGAAATGCGAGCCACACGGGTACATGTTCGAGCCTGCGCAGCGGTCCAGCATTTGGAGATTTGACAAGACAGCGCCTCATAATTTTAACGACATGTCACTTTACTGTGGTGGATATAAGGTAAGAAAACTATATTTTCAATTTTAAAAAGTGTGTTGAAGGCCGATGAGCGTCAAAGTCAGGTGGGTATAACTTATAACCTTGTAACTTGCACCAGTTAAAATAAAGTTGGAAATTTATTTATTTTGTTTACCAACTGAAGTGTCGAAAATACTGTAAATTACACAATTGAAAAAAAAACACGTTATAAAGGTGTCAAATTATAATTATTTATTTTTCTGCCAGGAAAGTAATGCCTCTATTTAAATTAATGCATCACGTGACACCGTCGCTACTTTTAGATTGATAAACAAAAATGGCATCAAGAAAACGAGGTAGACCGTTTGGTATACAAGTAACTTTTGACATGGATGACAAACGTCTAAGACTTAAAGATACTTATCTTTTAAAGCAACCAGTATTCACTATTTGCCCTGTAATGGCAGATATTAAAGGGTTTTATCATGTATCTAATTTTTTTTTTCAAAATGAAACACTATTATATTCTTGAATCATATAATTATCGTTTAATTATGAAATAACTTTGAAAACAGTCATAATTAGGCGATAAAACACCCGTAATATAGAGTTATCGAAGTATATTTACATTTGCAAATGTTTTCCCTTATATAACACTATTGAAAGCAACACGTATCTATATCCGTATAAACACAGGTTCCTCGCGTCATAAACGTTCGACGTAATTTCTCAGTGACGTCATAAAGGGTCGACGCGCAAACAATGGATCAAATACGTGCCGTTGAGTTTGAAAAATAAAACATTTCACGCGTTAATGATTATAATCATGAAAATATAAAATATGAATAAGTCATAAATGTAAATATAAGTAATAATGTATCATTTTTAAACATCTATCGGATATAAATACGGGTTGGTACGAGATCAAATTTACCATAAAGACCTTCGGGCTTTATGGAATTTGATCTCGTGACCAACCCGTATTTATATCCCGATAGATGTTTAAAAATGATACCTTATTTCTTAATAAAATCTCCACTAATTAGATATATAGGGGTCACGTGGTACTGAAACGTCATAGGTGTCAATGGTCAATTAGAACTCGTTTGTTTGTTTGTTTGTTTGTTTGCTTATTGTTTAACTTATCGGAAGAAAAATGTATCAAATAGATTTTGACGTTAAATAATACACACTACACAGTAAGGTCGGTGGAAAGGATGTGTTCACTATTTGAAAAGAATTGACCTAAAGGAGAGAACAATTTCCCGGAAAAAGTCACTTTTGAAAATCAATGTTCATTAGTTGTTAACTAACGTATATATGCGTAAATTTTTCACATTTGTATTTTGAACCTAAAATTTATTATTTACAACTTAAAAATTTACTTCTAAAGTTGGCCAAAACAGCATTTTGTTTTTTAAAGCACATATTTTTTGCATGAATTTTGGCCTAGAAGTCCTTCAGGGCAGGCCTGCCCCTAAATAAAATTATGATATTTTGATAGGTTGTGATGAAAGAAATAATTTCAGACAGGAATTATTTAGGGGCACCCCTGCCTTAGGGTCGAAATCCCCCCCCCCCAAAAAAAATAAGGAAACCTGTTTTTAAAAACCTAGTTCGCATTTATACACAATAAATTGTCAAATCCAGAATAGCTAGATCGGTAAAACAGCTGGTTATTATACACCGAAGGTACTATTTGAGTCTTGGTTCGAATCCACCTGGTGGCACACTTTTATATACTTTTAAATTCTTGTCTTTTTATAGACTTTATTTTTTTTTAATAGGGTCTTGTGTATTTTCTTTCAATCATCTATCTTTTATGTCTGCTCATTGTTGATATAAAAGACACTAAAGGGAAAAGAAATAGTAAAATCCACTGTACATAACTAAAACACAGTCAAGCAGAACTATACCTCAGTATAGCACATTTCTTCGAGGACAAGAATTATTCACTCTGTGTTACTCGATACAGATATTTTCGCCTGCAATGAGCATGAGCTGCGATGGATTTCTATTGTATATAAATATTCCTTAGAATTTAATCAATTTAGTGTATTACATTGCTCTTATTCCGTCTGTACTACTAGTTCTTCTCTGCGTTATTGCGCTGGAAAGTATACGTACTTTAAAAATATATTTAGAATACAAACATGCACCGAGTCAATAAATTTCAGATCTAAAGTTTTCAAACAGTATAGGATAATGTAGTATCTACACTCCCTTGGATTTAATTTTTTATAATTTGTATACATTAATGGTATGTTTTATCATATCAACTGAGATGTGTTGTAAAATAAACACACATCAAGAAAAAATAAGAATATAGACATTACCATTATTTACAATGAAAAGTAAGAGGCAAATAACATTTTGAGATAACAAACTCAAAATGTGTTGACAGTTTAGTCATGCTTCAAAAATGTTTGAAGGTTTCGCCAATCTCTATACATACTGTAATGAAATGAAAACGATTTACAACATGTGTGTAGCCTAAATTCATTGACCGTAACGAAATCGACGAGCTTTTTGTATAGATTAAAACCAATCCCGGTCCTATAGGTCCAAACTCCATTTACAAAGAAGTGATCCTTTTGACATCGACGATATTCTTTTAGTTATAGACGGTCTACCTTTTATGTATGTACGTCTAACAGAGAGAAATAATCAAGAAAATATGCCAACAATAGGAGAGGACACCGAAGATGAAGCCGTGGATAACTCGGGACTTCCGACTAAATAGAACGAATAACTAAAGTTGGACTTCCTAAATATTTATAGATATGATAATTTTAAATTCAACTTCTTCATTATTTTAATAAACTGTACATAAATATTCTATCTGTTCCAGTGAACATTCATAGTCGTAGTCAAAATGCAATGTACCTCGTCGTGTATGATTTCCCGCGGACATGCATGTCGATATACTGTTTACGCACTTCCTTCATCGATATTCATGAAAAAACTTAATTCTTTATTGCAGATCTTGCTGAATTGTTTTGTAATTACAACGACTTATTTAGTTAAACTTTGTGGAAAAAGTATTATTTTTTCATTACACATCATTTTTCTCAAATCATTTAATCATTTTGTTTCACATGAAAAATCGGCGTTTATATAGCATGTATATCTTTAAGATGCATAATTCAATGAAATTATCGCATTTAATTAGAATATTTTAGACTTACACGATGTTCCAGCATGAGTTACTTTTATAATAAGGAATACAAAACTCTGTTTTATAATACACTCTAAATTGTTTTATTTTTAAAAGCAAGTAAATTGGATTGTGGATTGAGTGAATTCTATGACATGATAAAACTGACAATCAATATGGAACACCTGAAAAATCTGAGATAGAAATAATCTGATAACTTTTTGATATATTTTATTCCTAATAGGTACAATGGGAGGACAATGAGGGTAAATGTGGGGTATGTGGAGACCCTTATAATGGAGAACGCAAAAACGAGGCAGGTGGAATATACGCTAAAGGTGTGATTGTCCAAAAATACACAAGTGGACAAGTGATCAGGGTAAACAACTCTAATTCATATAAAAAGGGAGAGAAAATATAATTTAAAAATCCTTTGAATAAATTGTATGTCCTGCTATGTCATAGTCTCCTAAAATACACATAAATACGGTTAGGGATAAATATTCTATCATTAATTTAATAGGTGGTCTCTCACTAAAGAAGTGATATCTGTATAGTTAAACAACTTTATGTTTGACTAAGCTATATTATTTGGAGAAAAGCAGGAAAAAGCAACTTTAAAATTCAATATAATTTTTTGAAAAATTTTAGAAATTTTATAAAGTTTTGTTACTGTTAAGTTTCTTGGAACATTTCAAAAGTCTATTTTTATATTTCACACGCTTATAATTACCTTCTTGGATTTCCATTGAAAGAAATATTGAAAAATAAAAATTGTAAAAATAGCCTTGTAAAACACACAGTGAACCAAAATGTCCTCAATACCTAACACTGAATTCGAAAGCAACGGAAGTGAAGAATTCTAACTATGTAAAGTGTAGGGCGTCCCGAAATGAAATTGCACGGAAAGTCGAGAGAGAACAAGTTTGGAGCAGTTTCCGACATCTCTCACTGGTTCCCTGCATGCCTTATATGGCAAGTGCAAATCGACAGACGATTCAATCATTTTTTAAATTAGATCTCACCCGACTCCTGTAGGAAAAAGACAATTTCAAACATTTTATTTTTATTATCATATTTAAAACACCCTCCCTAAACAGAGCCCTTATGGCTGAGCCATGTGCTCCGCATTTTTTAATAATTCCAAAGACACATGTATATATAATGTTTACAGGTGGGAGTTAGAGTGACCGCATTTCATTTGGGCTACTTTCAATTCAAAATTTGTCCCCACAACAACCCAACCGTCCCCGTCTCTCAGGAGTGCCTTGATCAGCAAAAATTAAAACTCGCGGGAACGAACGAATATCGTTTTTACCCTACCAAGGATGGGGATTACTACCTCCAACTTCAGCTTCCGGCAAACATGACGTGCTCGCAGTGTGTGCTGCAGTGGAACTACACTAATTGTATTTAATATTAATATTGATGATGATGAAGATAATTTATGACATATAAACATGATAGACAGTATAATCTGGTCAAAGACCATAAAGTGAGGTCTAACTTGAGATAAATTTTTAAATACCATTTAGTATCTCTTTTATATTACGTGATTAGGGAACACACCCGACACATATAAACAAGAAACCTTTATCAATTGTGCTGACGTCGCTATTTCCAACGACTCATCAACCTCTAATGTCTCTACCTCTCCAACGTGGCCAACTACAGCCCCGAAGAGCGATTGCCAAAATGGTTACATAAAAATGTGTCATGGAGAGCCTGCTGAGGACACGGGTTTTCAGCGACATTGCAACGAGAACTGTAGAGAGCCTAATATTAACGAAGAAGCATGCACAGCATATATATGCAAATGTGCATGTCAGAAGATTGACTGTAAGGCAACTGGTCCATATGAGGGAATGATTGATCAGGATGCCTGGTGTCTCAGAGAGTGCACTCTTAACAGTGATCTCTGCAAAAATGTAGAGAGCTGCAAATGTACAAAATTATAATACACTGACTTACCAAATATAAGATACGTACATCTTTGATGATTGATTAAAAATTGAAAATCTAGAACGTGTTTAGTGAGAATCGTTGGCCAATACTTGAATTTAATTTGGGACAAGATAGACAGCAAAATATATGACAAACATATATTATTCAGGTAAAGTTTGGCGTCACAATCTCCAAGATATGCATGAAATATGGAGATAATGAACAGTATTCAAAGTCCATTTAGACAGTACAAATCGGGAGCAGAGCAAACACGGGCCCCAAAAAGTATCAGAGGGGGATCAGGTGCCATGGAGGAGTGAGTATCCCCTGCCGACGGGTCGCACCCGCCGTGTGCTCCTAGTCGTGATCGGGAAAACGGAAAAATCCAATCCTTAGACAATTCAGTATGTAAATAGTGGCCTAACAACTGGTATGAAAAAGGTCAGTTAGCATTTGACTTAATGATAGATTGTACATGTATTTGCTCACAAGGTCATTATATCGACCATAAAACTTGCAAAATGATGACTTAAAAAGAGACTGTTGATATCTTGTTTCATCAACTTGTTTGTCAATAACTTGCCTCGTTTAACACAAATTGAAAACCAAACAATTTGAAAATGAAAAAATTGCAAAACTCAGAAAGGTGAATCACTGTGACCAGCTTTTGGATCAACATACCTTGAGGTCAAAAGATGAATCATAAAAGACCGCGTTATTAGCAAAATATATAAATTGTATAACAAAATATCATTTTATGTCACAGGTGCTTGTGGACAGGACCTCCCTCCCCGAATATACACCTTGGGTCCAATGATATTTTTATTCGTCCTTTTCCATAAATCAATCTTCTAGTACACATTTACAATGTATTCCATATGAAAAATTAAAAAAAAAATAGCGTAGAATCAACGTTTTATTAAAAAATCATACCCGTGGTATTATAAAATAGAGAAGGTAAGTCACTTCCATTTGTTAACACTGGACCCCTTTTGGATATCGGGCCTAAAATATCATATACCTACTACATGTCACCATAATGTGTCATTATAATCTTGTTTCGGTAGATATTTTTGTCTTTAATCGTGCTATTTAATTACCAAGGCATTCCACAATAATCCGAGTATTTATCGTCAAACGTGAAAAATGCCACCAGATTTCGAAATGTCATAGTAAAAATTACAGAAGTGATGCAAAAACGACACCTATAGCACCCAAGGTGTATATTCGGGGAGGGGGTCCTGTCCCAAGCACCTGTGATTTTAAGTTAGTTTTTAGTGACTTTTAGTTCAAAGTAAAAAAAAAATGAATGAATGAAAAATCGTCCATACTCAGATTTAAATGGACTCATAAAAAGAGTTTGTGAAAAATATTTTTATACAATACAAACTAAAATTATACAATACAAATGGAAAATTTTACAATGCAAACGAAAAAGATCGAATATTGCTTTAATAGTTTTATTGTTGAGCAAAGGAGCCTTGTGGCTCATAGGCACACAGAATATATATATATATATATATATATATATATATATATATATATATATATATATATATATATATATATATATATATATATATATATATATATATATGTGTGTGTGTGTGTGTGAGGGTGTGTGTGTGTGTGTGTGAGGGTGTGTGTGTGTGTTAGGGATGTCAACGAGTACCCGGTTAACCGGGTACTCGATCGAACGTCCGAGTATCGAATACTAAAAATGGTACTCGGTTACTCGGATGTGTATTTTTTTCTTATTTCAAAGTACATATTTTTATCAAATTCTTATCAAAAGATAACTTAAATATGCATAAGGGTAATTAGCGTGTCGTTATCTACACATGTAAACACCCGTTATCGCCTATGGCTGTGTATATACAGTAATTAGTGACCGATCACCTGGTACACAGCTGTTCTCACCTATTGTGGGCCTTAATTTTTTGGATGGCTTGAATGATTGTTTTTCAGTGAACATCGTTTAATATGGTCTTTTATCTTCAAATTATTTTTACATTATTTAGTTAATATACGGCAGCGAAATCGGACGTACATAGAAATGCCGCTATCCACTTCAAAATAAGTAGATTCAAAAAGTTTCCATAGTGTAGACTAGCGATCCAAACAACTTCCGTTTCAGTCTAATCATCACAGATTCTCCTCCTTTTGCATTGATGAAATAGATCCTAAACAAGAACTGTAAACCATTTGTAACTTTTGATATATTAATTGCGTCATTTGTGTTTATTTAATAAATAAATTTCCGTTGGACTCCATGTTTATATTCATTCATAAAACGTGATTAAAACAGCTTTGGGGTTTTACAAATTAACTATAAAAATTAACAGACTTGTATTTATATTTGTACCGAGTACCCGGGTACTCGATCGGAATATATATATATATATATATATATATATATATATATATATATATATATATATATATATATATATGTATGTATATATATATATGTATATATATATATATATATATATATATATATATATATATATATATATATATATATATATATATATATATATATATATAGGCAAATGGCAGAGGATTCAAAAAGAACAACAATATATAAATATATGGATATAAGGAGTTTGTAACAACAAAGATAGAAACTAAATAATTGAAATTTGAAACATCATTAATGATATTTAACAAATTAATGTTTCCCTTTGTTTTGTAGCTTTCAATAAATATTGGCAAAGTTTCTGAATAGTTAATTATAAAATTATATTCACTAAAAAGTTGAATGAGTTTGAAAAAGGAAGGGTTTTTTTTTATGATAATAAGGCTTAATATATATTTTTTAAGTAAATCAGAAAATGTCGGGCATATCAAAACAAAGTAAAATTCGTCTTCTACTTCGTTCATCTTACAAATAAACATTTGCGTTCATTTCGGGTAAGTTTTATACCTTCCATTTTCAATATTCAAAGAATGTGCAGAAATTCGATATTTACATCACACAGACTTTTCTTTGAATGTCAATATCTTTATAAATCAAATGTGTCAATTATTTCTTTATACAAAATACATTTTGACGAGCTTTCAAAAGCACTATAACAACTTTGTATAAATACGTCAGTAAGACGCTGTTCTACAAGAAAATTGTTTAACATTACCAACTTCTTGTTGTTCCCCAAAACTTCCAAGACCTAAACAATGTAGTTCATTTCTAACTGCACTTAACCAGTTTGTACAATGTTCCTATTGTTCTTCATACTCACATTACAGTTGTTTATAACATGTCTGCAGAATGCAACGTTTGACTTGCCATATAAATTCAAAGTATACAAAATAATTAAAAACATGATGATAAAATAAAATCCAAATTATACAGTTATGTACAAAGGAAATTAAATATACTCCGCTGCCAGTTCAGAAACTTCTCGAGTAATCTTAATGCAGATTTGTTTAATCATAATTCAGTTGGTTCACCAGAATGCTTAAATTGTGGGGGTTTTTTTTGAAGATTCTGTTCGTTTTTTCTTTCAATGACCATGTTATGATCTTGCCAGAAACTCTTTGATTACATATATGATTGTTCATGACATATCAAGAAATGTTAATATTTTATTATCTGGTTATGATTGTTCATCTCTTAGAGAAAATATGTTATTCTCTGACCAAGTTCATAATTTAAAAAAACACTACAAGATTTTAGAATGTGAAAATGTAATAAATATTAATGTGCAGCATGTAGACTGAAAGTACATATAGATATAGTTCTGAGCATCCCCCCTTTTTTCATTTATTTTATTTTATTTTATTGTTCATCCCCATTCTTTCCTCTATTTTGTACTCTGTAACCTATTTAAAAATTAGTTTAAAATACATGTCTGTAAAACTTCAAATATATACCATTGTTAAAGTTACTCGATCTCTAATGGAGAGAACTAATATAGGCCACTTTTGCCTGCTGTTCAATCCATGTTCATTGTATATACTTCTATGTATATCATGACTAAAATAATTCTTAAACATAAAAAATTTGCATTTACTGCCACCTAGCTGCAATAATGTAGCCCTCTCCGATTTTTTTATCTTATATTTTCTGGAGTCCCCCCCCCCCCAAAAAAAAAGGGAGAGGGCTACATTATTGCAGCTAAGAGTTTTCATATTATGACTATTATCCATAATTTTATACAATTTTCCACATTCTGCTTTTTATGTAAAAGAAAAAAAAAAGAAACAAGATGTGTTTGTGAAACACTGATGCCCCCGTATGGCAGCTTATGGCGAAGGTTAAAGTTTCTTCAAATGCAAGTCAAAATCCAGGCCAAAAGATAAAAAAATGTTGATACCCACAGAAAGGTCTTGTCTCGAGGAATACACCTGTGAAATTTGAAAGACCTAGATACAACTGTTCAAAAGTTATGGCAAAGGTTAAAGTTTTTTAAATAAAAGTCAAACGTCAAGGTCAAGGTCAAAGTGGTTGGTATCTAAAGGAAGATCTTGTCACAAGGATTACATATGTGAAGTATGAAAGCCCTAGCACCAACCATTCAAAAGTTATGGCCAAGGTTAAAGTTTTTCAAAAGTAGGTCAAACTCCTAGGTCAAGGTGAAAGGGTCAAAGTGGTTGGTATCCAAAGGAAGGTCTTGTCACAAGGATTACATATGTGAAGTATGAAAGCCCTAGCATAAACCATTCAAAAGTTATGGCCAAGGTTAAAGTTTTTCAAAAGTAGGTCAAACTCCTAGGTCAAGGTCAAAAGGTCAAAGTTGTGGTTGGTATCCAAAGGAAGGTCTTGTCGCACGGATTACATATGTGAAGTATGAAAGCCCTAGCTCCAACCATACAAAAGTTATGGCCAAGGTTAAAGTTTTTCAAAAGTAGGTCAAACTCCTAGGTCAAGGTCAAAGGGTCAAAGTGGTTGATATCCAGAGGAAGGTCTTGTCACAAGGAATACACATGTGAAGTTTGAAACCCTAAGCACCAACTGTTCAGAAGTTATGGCCAAGGTTAAAGTTTTTCAAAAGTAGGTCAAACTCCAAGGTCAAAGGTCAAAGTTGTTGGTATCCAAAGGAAGGCCTTGTCACAAAGAATACACATGTGAAGTTTGAAACCCCAAGCACCAACTGTTCAGAAGTTATGGCCAAGGTTAAAGTCTCATAAAATTTTGCAAAAGTGGGTCAAACTCCAAGGTCAAGGTCAAAAGGTCAAATATGATGGTACCCAAAGAAAGGTCTTGTCACAAGGAATACACATGTGAAATATGAAAGTCATAGCTCCAACCAATTAAAAGTTATGGGCAAGGTTAAAGTTGACAACAGACAAACAGACAAACAGACAAACAAACGGACAAACAGACAAACAGATAAACAGACAAACAGACAGACAGGACAAAAACAATATACCCCCGGGATCTTTCGATCCGGGGGCATAAAAAAGAATACACTTTATGTTTTGCACGATCTCAATTTATTGTATTAAGATTAATATTAGCAGTATGTATCAATAAAATCGTGCACCAGATATATACTCTACTGTGTAGCGCATGAGTGTACATATGTAATAACGTGAATTTGTAACCACAAGAAGCTTCCCATGTTGTGAGTATGGAGGGAACTGCCCCCTCCCTCGACTTTTTTCCCGAAAAATCTTTTGGTTCTGCTGTGTGCAATAATAAAATGCCCATATAAGGTAATTGTCATTGTAGTAGATATAATAATTTTTTTAACGGCCTATTGGGCGACCTTTGAAAAACAATCTCTACTGTGCTCCAACCTTTGCCTTAAACTACATGTACCACAAAATAGAAGATTAAGTAGCACATTAATATGTACTCCTACCCTTTCCTTAGATTTTTAAATTCAACTCATGAAAATCTATCAGAAATGTCTGGAAACACATTTGTTTTACATGGTAAATGTTTTTTAAAGACATACGCAACGTAGTTTGAAGTTTATTGTCTTTGTCCCTGGAGTTGAAGAGTTCCGATACTCAAAGGAACTGTGTGCTACATTTCAATGTCTATATATGGTGTTGTACACTTCTTCTAAAAACAAGTTTGGATAAACAAAACATCTAGAATATATGTTTAGTAATTTTTGTATATTTTTCTTTGACTTATACGAGAAATTTCATTAATTGATATCTTTTTAAAACCCCTGGTAATGCATGCTGATTTTTTGTCTAAGAACATCTGATGGCACTATAATCTTAAATTAAGAATAACTTGAAAAATTATCAGTAGGTAAGGTACGTTGCGTATGTCCTTAAAGAAAAAGACTAAAGCAATTTTCTGTTTCAGACCCATAGCAACGGTGTCAAAAAGGGGGGGGGGGCAAATTCCCCAAAATAATCTGACAAGCAAGAGAAAAAAAAACTAAATTTCTCTCCAAACCATGAAATTTCACAGTGCTTGTCCTTACAACAGCAAAAGGGGGGGCAGCATCTAAAAGAAAATTCACTATAGTAAAATACTATACTCAGAAAAAGTGGGGGCATCCTCCCCCAGCGTTCTACGGGCCTGTGTTTATTGTCTATTTTATTTACCCCATAATCTTTGAATGGGTCAACCAAGACTATGTTCTTAAATTAAATCACAATAAAATTAGAAGTGGTGTTATTTGCATTATCGCACTTTGTTCAAATTAGACACTTCAGGAACCTTTAAATATTTTTTTTCTTTCTAGTATAACAATATATTTATTAGATTTTTGAATCAAATCTTGGAGTATAAACCACCTCATGACATTTTATAACTGGATAATTAAAAGTAAAAACAATCTTGAGTCGATAATTTTAGAATAATTGAAACTTAATATAAATTTCTTTTTCATCTAATATTTTTAAACGTTTATACTTCTTTCTGCATCTGAAGCGTTAGCGCTTCATGATAAATATGCAGGCGTGTAGCGTTGTAGTTCATGTACCTCATGAATTCTCAAAAATTAAATTTATATCTTATATTTACATTATATTTCTATTGACTTACCACATATCTCCGTCATTCAACTATCATTTTTGAAAAAAAAAGGTTGCACTATTATTTTTTTTTCTTTACCTCAATCACATCACAATGGAAATACATGTATTCTTAATCATCCCACGGTAGTTCATGAGAACATTAACTTCTAATAATTTTCAAAGAATCTTAAGGAAAATGTTTGGAAATATATATATATAAAATTTGTGTTACTAAAAATCGCAAGTTTTGAAAGTTGCGCATTATTTCAAAAGAGAAATGTGATAAAAGTTAACAGATATACCCAAAAAGAAATTCATGATACGCTCATTAAAATTCTGTATTTAAAATGCTCCGTCGCCATGGTGACTAGTGATGACCACTGTCTAAATTTTTAGAAAACCTGCCATGAATAGTCCAAATATAGGTCAGTGATCAAATGAGGGCAAAGGTCACTTAAAATGCTATTATGCCAGTGCATTTGCGATCATAATCAAAGTCCAATTCTTGCTGTGTTTTTCGAATATATTAGGTATTTCTAATATGAATCACCCTATATCACAACCAGGAATTGGTAATCTCTCAGATTCCAAGATTTATAAAATTGTTGCCGTGGTTACCAATAACAGTTATCTTGGGTACCAAATACATATAATTATATATGTGGAAAACACCCCAAAATACTAGTCTACTATATAATTGCCGTGCAACAAGGGTAATATACATTTGCAATTGAAAGTAAATTTCGGGAAACAGCTAAGTATAATTTGTATGTATTATTTAATGTATATATTATCAATACTTATTTAGATAAGAGAGAATAAATAAGCTAAACCGTTTTACAGTCCATTTTGTGATTAATACTTATTTCTAACATGATATATTAGGAAAAACATGTATACCGGTTATTCATTTAATTATTTACTAACGACACACTACAACACTGATCCACTGATATTAATACAACACTATCATAACATCAGCCATTCCGCTCCAAATTTAAATTTTCATTAAGATTAGTATCATATTTATGATGCACGAATGATGATAATGTAGTGGCTATATAAACCATTGGATCCAATACCATCGTCAAAAATCTCCAAAATGGAGTACCTGATTGTCCTGATCTATTTAGCTAGCCTGTTGGCGGTTGGTGAGCCACACGGGTACATGATTGAACCTCCCATGCGATCCTCCATGTGGCGAGTGTACCCTGGGTTTCCCCCTAATTACAACGACATGGAACTCTTCTGTGGAGGTGTTACGGTAAGTCTTGACCAGTGCCGTTTTATTCGACGAGACCGTCCGGTGAATACCATAAAGATGACGACTTTTCCCTATTGATACCCTGTTTCGATCTATTTACTTAAACGCATTGTTTTAAGAACTTGGAGGAAAAGTTATAAATGTAACTCAAATGCACTTAAAAACACATACTCTCTTATAAAATATATATGTATAAACACAATATAAATAAATGTAAAACGTGAAACATGTAAATGTGGTTCGCAAAACTAAGTATCTAATGTAACTACAAGCTATAAATTTAGCCGTAATGATGAAATGTGTTTATTTTCATTGTAAAATTATCTTGTATAACTAATGTTTGTACTATAAAATAAAAGAGAGCATATAATTTGAAACCAGAAAATGTAATTATAGGGACAGTGAGTGGTTACCCTTTGTTTAAGAATGTAGATTGCGATGACAGTGTTAAGAAACAATCAAGAAGGAAAAACCCAGCTTGATTTCTTGACCATTAATCGTTTTGGGTAAAACTTGGGCTTTCATACTAATGTGGTTTATTGGTTATATTGAAAATGAGAGAGAGAGAGAGAGAGAGAGAGAGAGAGAGAGAGAGAGAGAATGAGAGAGGGAGATAGAGAGAGAGAGATGTGAATCTTCACAACCCCAACCTTATTAATTAATTCTAACTTGGTACCTTATTTTTCAACAATCATAAATCTCATAAACTTAATTGGGTTGAACTGATGCAACTCTCTCTCTCTCTCTTTTAATCACAGAGAATATTAAAGCAAGCTCTTTAGCAAGGTAATTTTTTATGTGAGTCAATTGTTAATTTTACAATCACGCCCCCCTGTGTGGGCAAATATATTTATTAAAAATAGCATTATTGCAGAGTAATGATAATGTATAATTTTAAACAACAAAGTTATCAAATGGTTATAAAAATAAATATTAAAGCGACACGATTTCAATGACCATGTAAGTGCAAAACAATTTTACGGATCGTCAACTTTATATAGAAAAGAATTACGATTGTAACATTCTGGTGATATGGGCAGATTTTTTTATTGTTTTGTTCTATTTTAATGCAAGTGACTATAGGAATTGTTGGTATCATTATAAACCATATTCGGACACACAAGTGTTCCTTTTTAGCACAGACAGAGTCAATAAAATTGTCAACATTGCTCCCCCCCAATAATTTTGCAGATATATAGTATACTGTGGAAAACCCTGAATAATAACTTCTGACTATTTTTTATCTTATTTTTTTTCCCTTGGTTTGCTTGTCAAGGAGTTTTTGCTTGGTAGTGCCCCCCAAATGTTTGGTTGTGCCCCCCCAAACTGAAATTGCTTCCTACGGACTGAGACTATTTTATTTTTTAAAGCAGACTAGTATACATCCGTTGAACATTTTAAAATGCTTGATGAAGGCATATAAATTAAAATTTGTAAAAGTCGATTATTTATTTTATCATTCATTTATTTCATATTTCCTCTAAAATTGATCGAAACACATTACGCAACAAAAACTCATTAAACTTAATCATTTACATGTATTTACATCTATTTTATTATTTATTTCTAAAATCAATAAAAATTTCATAAACTAAAGGTGCGTAAATCTTGCATAAAAAAATAACAATTTTTTTAGAGGACAATAGATTAAATGCATGTCGGCTGCATGATATGGCAAAACTAGGACAAAAAGCAAAGAAAGGTTACAATAAAAGTTCATGGGAGAAAAATCTTGAGAAAATCCTTATTTGGAAGTAAATACTATATATACGTCTTTCCTTTGTTTCTTGCTTTTATAGAAATAGATAACAAATTTTCATCTGAAAAAAAAAAAGCTGAATACAGGTATTGTTCTCTTAAGTAAGCCGTAATTTTCTCAATTCGAATTTAGTACAGTTTCGCCGAAAATAATAAAATCTAGTAATTTCTATGAATCAGCCGCAAGCATTAATTTTTCAGATAGGAAATAAACAGATACTGATCTGTAATTATAATTTGACGTGTATACGATGGTATCGGAGCTAATAATTAAAAAATCGCCGTAGAGTACGAGATTGTCCATATATACAGCGTAAAATTCCCCGCCTCCAGACATACCACATGTTAATTTTCTCGCACTTGTACCCTAAATTTAGAAATTTTATTGCTACCATCAAGATTTCTACGATTTTGTGCGCAAAAAATCCCACAAATATTTGTCTTGAAATAGGTCTATAATAAAATCTTTAAATGGCTGCATTTTCTGAGCCTTCTTCGGCACTTTTAAAAGAAATAATTAGCTCTTATAACAATCTCAATAATAGACCGCATTAAAAATAAAGAAAATTTTAAAGAGTAATGAAAAAGTCAACGGAAAAGTTAGAGATAAAAAAAAATTGATGTCAGTAACACACATGTTAAAAACTACATGTTTAAAAAGTTAAACAGCTACAAACGCTAAATCAGGTTTACCTGCATTTGTATTGTGCAAACATTGCGTCAATGTACGTGTGATGAATTTGTGTGAGAAAATTGATTCATTAATTAAATAAAAAAAGAGAAAAAAACTTTAAATATCAAGTGGCAAAAGAATGAAAATATAATTATACATTGACATCTGTGTGATTTAAGATAACATGAAAATATTCATATTTTTAAATTGTAATTTTCAGCTGTAGACTGTGTAGTGCACACTGAATTAGATTTGCTAACTTTATTTAATAGTCGTTGTCTATATTACTTAATATCTCCTAAACTATAGTTAAGAGTCATATTTCATTCAATTTTGACATCGTATTTTCTGGTCTTTTGTATGTTTAGAAACAATGGGATGAAATGGATGGGAAATGTGGAACATGTGGCGATGCTTACGACGCAGAAGTTCGCGAAAATGAAGCTGGTGGAATGTACGCTACAGGCGCCATTGGTCGAAACTACACACGTGGACAAGTAATCAAGGTACATTACTCCATACTTTAGGACAGTATTATGGAAAAAGTGCTAAAGTTTTATTGATTGGATAAAACAGTCGTCCAATAGACCAATTTGTTTCTTGTGTTTTTATTTCTTTATTTCTTTAATTATATACATGTATTTATTTATTCATTTGAATTATTTTGTCAAAAAAGTTGAAAATTCAAGTTAATGAATGAACTTTCAAGGAAATGTCTAGAATACTTAAATAGTACATTGAATTTTTAAGATACTAATCATTGAGTTTTTCAGCTGTGTTGAAAATGTTATTTAAGAAGAAAAAAGATAAGACAAAAACAATAAAAATAATTAGAAAACATCAATAAAACAAAACAAAACTTAATTCTAAAAAAAGATACCCCACCCTCAAAAATAAATGGAAACATTGATCCATCGTAAAAAGAAGCCTACGGCTATTGGAATAAGGGAGTCGTACATATACTAATAGATCATTGTGTGAATGGTTCAGGACTGTGTCACATCGCTAAAGAAAGCAAGAAAGTTTATTCCTAAAGATACTTATTTTCCTAGATGAAAAAAAAAAAAAGATTTATTAGATTTCACTGAATGTTCATCTGTATTGTACAGGTTGGAATTCAATTAACAGCATCTCACTTAGGCAACTTTCAATTCAAAATCTGTCCTCACAACAACCCAGCCGTGCCAGTTTCTCAAGCATGTCTTGATCAGCATAAACTGAATTTAGCGGGAACGGACGAACATCACTTCTACCCGAAGGAGACCGGATTTTACGAAATAGAACTTCAACTTCCAGAAGACATGGTTTGTTCGCAGTGTATCCTTCAATGGCACTACAAGGCTGGTAAGAAAACTTACAACGCTTAATATCTGAAGGATCATACAGATAATCTAGAGCTACCTAGTAGTGATATTGGACTATTGTTACAAATTACTGTACTGTTAACTGTCTAGTTATCACTGAATGTCTTTTACAATAGATTTTTTTTTTTGGGGGGGGGGGGGGAGACACTTCATCATACATGTGTTTTTGTATAAAACAGCATCAGCTATATAAAATACGTACAAAAAAGTATGAAATTATAAAAAGTTTTTCATAACAGTATACAGTTATATCATTTCCTCGTCAAATTGATAAAGTGCTACTATTATGATATGGACTTTAAAAAAAAAAACCGTATCACAAGCAGGATATTATTAAAGCAAAAAGAAAAAAGAAACGTTTCTGAAGAGTTTATTTTAGAAATAAAGTTAATTATTAATGTCACGGTATACATGTACATTGCAATATTTGTATCATGAATAGGTAACACATGGGGTTGTACAGAGGACGGAGATTGTTGTCTTGGCTGTGCCTCTAAACAAGAAACATTTATAAACTGTGCTGATGTTACCATATTCGACAATGACGGGACGGTTCCTTCCACATCAGCACCAACCACTGCAAAACCGACTACTAGTGCCCCTGTAACCAACGCTCCAACTACTTCAGCCCCAACTAATGCTCCAACTACACAATCTCCAACGTCCCCTGCCCCAACCCATGCCCCTACAACACAATCTCCAACGTCTCCTGCCCCAACTCATGCCCCTACAACAACTCTGCCAACACACGTGACATCTGCGGACTCTGTGTTGATGGACTGCCCGCCTGATTATACTTTGATGTGTGACGGCGTGGGACAATTGGCGGGTGACCTAACTCAGCAGCGCTATTGTAACGATCACTGCCGACTGAGGTCTTCCTCGTGTACCCCACAGTTCTGTACATGTACATGTCAGAAAATATCCTGCAAGTCGATTGGTCCATTCGAGGGTTCGACGATCCATGACGACTGGTGTCAAATGATGTGTACACAAAACTTCAGCCGCTGTCCTGAACTTAGCGGCGAGTGTGAATGTACCGAGGACGCATAATACTGTTATTATATTGATTCAGGATTGCTTTCAATTAAATTCTATAAATTCATGTTTTTGGACTTTGACTTATCATTATTTGTACTTTCAAAATTAATCTCAAGGCAGCAATGCGCTGAAATTTTGTCCATCTAATGAACAATATATATATATATATATATATATATATATATATATATATATATATATATATATATATATATAATTATATATATATATATATATATATATATATATATATATATATATATATAGTATTCTAGAGAGGTGTGACAAGACTAAAACTACAAGCTGGTATACATAATCCGATGTGATGGTTTTAAAATATTGAGTCTCTAGACTCGGACCTTATTGGGATATTATAATTGAAACTCTCTCTCCCTCTGTTCGAAAACTTTTTTTTTGTTATTTTGGGTTCCTTTATGAACCAAGCTAAATGTTGCTGAACACTGGTATGACACAAAAAAGTCAAGTATTATCAGTAAGAGTATAAAATGGATGTTTAATTGAAATAAGATAAAAATAATAAATAAAAATCACAAAATTATTGAATTCACACAAATAACACAGTCACAGCTCCTCACAAAACCACCAGTTCATAAATAGTGATATAAGCACCAACACATATGTTGATATTAACATTGACTAATGCACACGGAAGTCGATAGGGCTTTGATTTTTAGGAGGTAATTGTAAGCCTGGGAAAGGAGGATTCATTTTTTGTGGAACTTGCGGCGCCTCTCCTGCGATTGCGAAGCCAGGCGAAAGAAAAGCCGGCTTTTTCGGCTCGAGGTTCCTTTGTTGTTGTTGTTGTTGTTGTTGAAGTTGTTGTGAGTTCCATGATTGCCGGTTTTGTGAGTTCCAGGTTTGCTGCTGCTGCTGTTGTGAAAGTGCCCAGTTCTGTGGTTCTCCCCATTTTTTCGCCTCTTGAACTGGCTCTCCCCATTTTTTCGCCTCTTGCACAGGATTCCAGCTCATTCGCTCCGGACTACTTTGTACACGGTCTTGATAAACGACTTGCTGAGGCGCTTTTGGCGAATTCAAAACAGCAAAGCTTTGACCAGGAGAGTTGGCTGTAGGTTGTCCTTGCATACTAGACAGAGATCCTAGGGAATGTACCTGATAGCTTGGAGCAATTCGAGCGACTCGCTCATCAAACCGTCCAAACTGAATATCGCTTGGAAGTTGCATCCTTGAAGCACGAGCTGGAGGACGATAGGGTTGGACGACTTCAGCTCGTTTTGGTTGTGGATTTGGCGTAACTGTGTATAGATCTTTCTTCATGTAGTTTGGTTTAAAAGCATCAAGGAGATTTTTGATTGTGTTTCTTTTGAACGAATCACTGAAAGAATAAGTTGGATTTACTTTACTTTGAGAAATGAGTGACTTTCCAATGCTTTGGGCCGAGTTGTCAAATTTTGGACGTTGTACATTGTACGTCGCTTTCCTTGGAGACGTTTTTTCGGGTTGTTTTTTCGTTGACGGTCTTTGCGTAGTTTTAATTGTTGGTCTTACTGTTGTTCTTACTGTTGTGGTAGGGGTTCTAGTTGTCTTTGTTTGTTTTCGAGTTGTGGTTGTGGGAGACGGCGTTGTTGTCTTTGTTGTCGTTGTAACTGTTTTAATTTCAGGTTCGGTATTTCGAGTAGTTGGCGCGATTGTCGTCTTTGGTTTTTCTGATTTCTTTGCCTTTGGTGAGTAAGCTGTTCTAAAAAGTGGTAAAAGTCCCCGATTAGACCTTGTTTTTGTTGTCGTCTGCATAGTCGTTGGTGCATCTGTAGTTGTGATCGTTGTAGGAGTTGTTGAAGATGACATCTCAGTTGAAGGGCTTGTGCTAGACGGACTTCTCTCGATGGCTGTTGTTTCCAGTGGAGTTGTTTCTAAAACTGTCGTTTCTGAGGCAGTCGTTTCAGTTGCACTCGATGTTGATGTAGATTTAGGTGTTTTCGAGGCAGTTGTTTCCGTGATGGTTGTTTTTGCGGAAGTGGTTTTATTTACAGTTGTTTTGGAGGATTCCATTGTAGTTGGTTTGTTAGTTTTTGTGTCCAATTCTTTCGTTTCAGTCAAGAATTTCCTTTGAATACCTCTAGAACCAAAGTCATACGGCACCTTACCAAAAATGATATCATCGAGTGTAATAACTTCTGATTTCGTCAATTGATTAATTTTCCTGGAATCTGTCGGGCTTTTTAAAATTTTGTTAATTGTAGGTTCATTTGACTCTTTTAAAGTCATCCTCTGTGCCTTTCGAAAAGCAGACGGAGTTACGCCTAGGTCAATAGGAGGATCTGGTTGAACAGTCACAGTTGTCGGTGATATTGTGCTTTCTATTATTGGATTTGAGGAATAGCTCAGCACAGGTGGCACAGGCGGTATTGGTACTTTCTTTGCGATGGGTAATTTCTGTTTTATGGGTAAATTCTTTGTTTTTGATTCTGATTCTTTAATTGTTTTGTTTTTAAGACTCTTTGAGTCCTGTTTTGTAAAAGAGTCCACATTCCTGAAAGCTGATGTCTCTAATAACTCCTCGGGAACACTTGGAATTGTTTCTGTATTCATTACAGTTTCAGTCTTTGGTTTAAACGAAGCTTCAAAATTTCCAACAGCAAGATATTTTTTTGAAGGATTGTTTTTAGGCGAACACGTACATTCACACTTCATGTTAGATTTTGGAACCAATGCGAAAACACACGAAATTATTACCGCCAACAGAATTAAATTAGACGTCAGATGTTCCATATTGTCTCTCAACAAGTAGTTCCCTTCTACAGAAAAAAAAATTATACAAATTATACCATTTGCATAAAAAAAAAACTATTTGCCACTCTTTGACAGGAAAACAAATGAGATATAAGAATGATAGACGATGTCATTTTTGTGTGTAATCTCGAAGTAATTACGTCTAAATGAAATTTGGGTTTCTCATAAATAAGAAAACAACATACGATAGGACTTTAAACCCTTTTTTTTTTTATTTCATAACTTAATATGTTGATAGAAAATTTGTTGGCATTAGAATAGTAAAAATGTATTTAATCACATTGCATATATATCCATAATTAAATATTCTTCCACGACTTTCAGTTAAAGTAACTCCATCACTAACAAATGATCTTTGGCAGAAATGCTCTTGATATCAGTTTCAAGAGGAGAGAAGCAAAAACTTCAGGAGAAATAAAAAAGGTAATTATCCTAATAAATCGCTTTATGAAAATAAATTTTAAAAAAATACAAACAAATCAACGGTTCTTGAGATTTTTCCCCCAAGAGTAAGAAAATACCTGAGTTGATTAGAGATGTGTTTTTAAGTGATCTGAAATAAACCCTTACCTGTCTCGTTAGAATCCGTCTGTTCTCTTCCGATCTTAACTGTAAATGGCACTAAGTCTCATTTGTACAATTTGAAATTCATAGAGAGGCCAAACGGGGCATAGAAAGACCCGTCATCCTGTCAGAAACGAAATTAATGATGCGCAATGTCACGAGAGAAAAAAAAAATTAATAAAATATGCTTATATTATGGAATATTTGATTGTTGACCTGGTCAGATAATCTTAATCTTAATTATCTATTTACTTTAGGTGATTTTTTTTTAAACTTTTTTCTTGATCCCCGTATGTGTTTGTCTATAGTATATAAAAGTCACGAGACTGCTGATCAGATGAATGTTATTTAACATTTATTTAAAAATGCGGGGTTTGATTTGATTTTCGTCATCTTTTTGGTGAAGCAAATGAAACCAGCTTGTTTTTCATACGACTTTTGTCACAAAACCACAAAGCACTTATAAAATCGAGAGAGAAAAATTAAATTTGAAATTACGCCTTTTTAATATAACTTCAGATTAATCCAAGTACAGCGTGCTACAACTTGTCTTCTGAAAGATGTCTTTTGATCAGGGATAATTACACGATGATAAATTGTTATGTTTGCAAGGTTAAAAAGTTTGTGCATATACTGAATTAACATTAATAGACAATTTCTTGTTTTAAAAATCAAATGAATGAATGACGTATTGAAAGAATAGTCTGAGGTTTCGAACAAAATTTGGAAAAATTCTTCATAGTCATTAATTCCATGCATTCTTTCCTACCGTTTAGTGAGTTTAGAAATGATTAAAATCTAGTACTGCATGTTACCATGTTGATCTGAAAAAGCATATCTTCTGAATTCTATTTTCTGATTATAGAGACTTTCAGTATTTATTCAAATAAGTAAAATTTAACGATCATATAACGCATAAAATTCTGTAGAAGGCATTATCGTGATAAGCATCGCCAATTTCATTGCATTTCATATAATTTTTTTCAGGGTAATGATGAAATTTATTTTGTACATTTGTGTAAAACTTTTATGTCCTTCTTTATGTTTAAATTTTTCATTATTATAGTTTTAGAAGAAAAAAAAAAGAATTAAAAATAAAATAAAAATCAAAAAAAAAAAAAATATACAGAAATACGAAAATAGAACAACAATTTAAATAGATTAATTTCATTGGATGAAACAGGATTTTTTTTTCATTGTCATTTTCATGTTTCTGGTATTTTATTAAAAGATCCCCATTACTTACCTTAATAAATGTAAAATTATGGTCAATGTTATTGTGATGTATTAATTTATACAAATAATATTCTTTCTAAAATGTTTAGTTTTATTTAGTGTGTATTTTACTGCATTAACATACATTTTATCGCATTAGTCCGAATATACTAACTTTTTTAATTGAATCTAGAATCACAGCCATGACATTAGTGAATCTAAATTCGAACATTAAGGATAAACATCAAATAATTGACCTTTTCTGAAAATTAATCGATATAAATTAATGCAACAGGATATCGTTATAACGCTGCACGAACACAATTATACAAATATATTATTCATTTCTTGAAAAAGTGCAACAAAAGTTTGTATAATAAATCGCAACACGACGACTGAAATGAAAACGAAATGCCGCAAAGGACAGAAATTGAATAGCGTAAATTTCAACTGCATTTTTTCGCGGCGCTATTCCTCAAACTAAGGTATATATCTAATGGGGCAAAGTATAAAATCAATTATCTACGTACATTAATGGTCGCATTTTTTAACATTTTCAGATTTGATTGATATTGCCCTTAATCACCTCTAAGCATTTTCACCTCATGTGTTGCCTTGCAATGCAGAGTGTGAATGTTTATGCAAACTTTGGGGACTTCTCGATAATCACCGCAAAATGAGTAATATTTGACAAGTCATTGCCACTAAATTGGCACGATTTTTGAGACTTCAAAAGCTTGAGTCTATACCTGACTTTTCGATTTACTTATTTTTCGTCAATCGATAAAAACCGACTTCGTTAATTAATGTTTCACATTTTGGGATAACATTGCCTGGTATTAAAAAACGGAAGTTTTCAAACCTTTCATGTATATGACTACTTTCGCTAATTAGAATTGACTTCATTAATAAACAATAGCGTCATTAAAAATTTGTAGAAAGAATGGCTTGGTTTAATTGATCATTCGTGGTCTTGTTATCTTATAACTCCAAAACCGCAACACAATTACATGTATACAGAATACTGTACGAGTAACAAGAATAAATTGTGTAGAACCTAAAATTGGTTATTTTTAATTTTACATGAACAAGTAACCATTAAGCGCTGCAAATGACATCTAGCATGTATTTAGAGTGATGACAAATTTCATATGAATACATAATTTAAGGAGTTGTTATATACGTGCATAAAATATAGGTGGATAAGTTTGTTAGAAGGCAACTAAAAGTGATAAAATTGGATACTCTCCCAGATGTTTATGGGCCTGCAGGCAAAAAAAAAAGTTATTGAAAACACCTATTACAACGACAATAACGATAAATTGTGAAATGAGAAATTAAAAAAATATATTTACTTCCGTCAAAAAATATGATAATTTATGAGATGAATATCCATCCATCGCTCATTTCAGTTTATATATAAATTATTGCCCTGAGTTTATAGTGTTCTTTATATTTGCTAATGATACTTTTAAATTTTTTATTGGTTACGCAAAGCATCTGTTTAAAATGAACCTTTCGTATTATGTAAAATTAGAAGTTTACAGGCGGGGGAGGAGGATTAATTACTAAGGGTCGTATATCTCTATCTAATGGTTTACTTCGTAATATATGAGATGAAAATTATTCTGCATTGTGATATTTTTGTACAGATTGATTTTCAACCCTGCCACTAAAAAAAGCTCGCCTGATTGTGGTGATCCGTTATAAATAAATATATATTCTACAGCACATTACTTCTCAGAAAAATGTGTTTTTAGCTATCGAGTCTTTTTTCGAGACCTCCCTTTATACATCATAAATTAGTGAACTTAAAAATTCTGACATTCGTCTTAAAGTGCACACTACTAGTAAAAAAAAAAAATTGCAAAATCTGAGAATGTAAGGCAAAGGTAATAGGAATACATTTTGTGATCTCTAGAATTTTATTTATTTATTTATTTATTTATTTTTTTTTTTTTTTTTGATAATTCAGCATTGTAATGCTTGTTACATCTGAGTGTAAGAGTTGTGAATCTATTCCGTAAATCTATATTCAAAAGATGCTTGCAAAAATTGTTTGTTACTGTTAAATCTGGTCCCTCAAATCTTTTCTTCTCAACCCCTGGATCTCAGAAACCCGAGGACAACTTGACTTTAACGTCATCCACGTTGCAAACGTGTTTGCAAGACCAAAACAAGTAAATGCATAAATTCCCTTTATTCTCAAGGTGATTAATGAACTTTTTTCCTAATTACATTTATATAAACCTGGCTTTTGCAGATTTGTGGTTAAATTAAGACCCAGAATTTCTTAAGGAATCCTTACACAGTTCTTTTTATAAACTTGGAAACGAATAAATTTATACAATTTAGTTTTTCAGTTTGCTGTGATATTTTGTGACCTTGAAGAATTTACTTTGTAGGAAAAACAGTAAAAAGATCAGACAAATGGAGGAAATTATAAAAACTAAATGATAACAAATATGAACAGAAAAGCCTTTATCATTTCTTTTTATTTATTAATATCTATACAATCGAGTAGCACACTTTTGAGTTCAGGGTGGTGAGGTACATCTATTCAATCCAAAGATTCCAAGCGCAGTGCTAAGGTGGCGGTTGCTGCGGTTTGATATGGTGATTCCGCTTATGACAAAGTCTGGCAGTTAAAATGAAGCCGGCAAGACCGAGAATAATATCACATACAGAAATCAACAGTATGATTACCTGAAGAGGCAAAGCGATTTCCCCAGAATCCCGACGAGTATATGTTTCCGTGAAAATAAATAAGGCGTTACAACACGAAGTAACCTTAAAGATTGCTAGTATCCACAGTCGGTAAACTGTCTTTAATTCATTTCTACAACAACACATATTAATAAACGTTATAGAGACGATGAAAGAAACACAGACTGCTATCCATACAAAGAAGAGTAGTGTTCGCGCATCAGAAGAGAACTGGATAATTCCGGTTTTCCAAATTAATGCCAACTCCAGTGAGTCAAAACTGTAACCAATCCATATACGGACAACTAGAAACATACCCGGACAACATAGTGCTGGACGTTCTTTCAAGAACTTTTGACTGAAACATGTAAGAATAGCCCCACAAGCAAAAATTGTTAAGTCAGTGGGCTTCTCAAAAAATTCTTTCAGCATGTTGAGAGTGGTGTTTTCTCGATGTCACCCATTTGTCCGTCAATGGCCGCTGCAGCTAACAATTGTGATAATTTGAGGAGAATTTGCAGAAATGACGTCTATTATATCTGACAAAGTGGGAATGAAAGGTGCAAATGGTTAACGGGGACATTTTGATGATAATAGCTCGTGCGAAGAGTAAAGTTTGACTTCGTAATTTGAAACTTACTCCAACGCCATCTGCTAAGAGGGTGCGTTTGGACACAGAGAGAGAGAGAGAGAGAGAGAGAGAGAGAGAGAGAGAGAGAGAGAGAGAGTGAGAGAGAATGAGATAAAAAAAGAAAATGTATATGAAATATACAGAAAATATGGTGTGTTTCAAGAGGATAAAAGCAATAATTTAGGTAATTTTTAACACTACAAGAAGCAGAAGTCCGATACGTTTGAAATTTCTTGAGACACATTTTAATTGCAAATTATAGACTTCACCAGAAGAGATGTTTACAGATAAAGATTTCATAAGTTATTATCTTGATTTACCGTATTTGTGGTGACATATATTGCTATGACTTTGGTCAATTTCATGTAATGGCGCAGATTAAAACGTATATAAAGTTAAGTCATTGCTTACGTATTATTTAAATGTTTCTCGGATTCAAACAATCAGTCCTATCAAATGTAAATTCTTTACATCCAAACAACGTGACCAAAGTGAAACCGCAGACCTATTTT